GAGAAGGTCGGAGGTCTTAACCCCCCCCGCCCATACGGCCTTTTCGACCCCCTCGATATACGTCGTGATGGAGACCAGGCGCAATCCCGATACTACATGTTAAGTTCAGGCTATCTAAATGTTTGTATAGGCAACAATAAGTACGATATCTTTTTATGACCTGCGGGAAATGAGATCACGGGCTTTCAGACAGTGTGCATGACGCTGTACCCGAAATGAAGTTAAATCCACCTATAGACGACCCTTCAATAACATCATGGAGTATATCATACTTATAAATTTGGCTTTTTTGGAGCGAACAAAGGGCAAACGTATCCGCCACACTATGCCTGCGTCATCGTTGATTGCAACTCCAATGTGTGTATTCTAACGTTCACAACCTTCCTCCACCACTCCCTACAGCTTAATCACACCCACGTCGCTGTCTGCACTCACTTCGCTATTGCCGTCGTCGGATTCCTTGTGTTCTTCAGCGGTGGAAGGCCCCCATTTTACTGTCACCAGCTTCAGCATCCATTGCGTCACCCTCCTTAGATTCCCCTGTTTTCGACAGCAACGGCGCTCTTCCAAGCCCCTCATCTGGATACCTCGGCCCACGCGAGGCTCTGAACCATTCTTCCATACCAGGTACCAAATGGGATGGGATATGGCAGTGTTGTTACGGGAGTTTCCAGGACAGGACACAGTCGCACATGTAGACACTGGATATGACAGCAACCACGTAAGATAAAGGGTCTTGTAATACAGAAGTTTTCACGTACCATTCGCTGCACACATCGCCGTAAATCCTGGTGGCACTGCACTAATCAGTATTTGTCTTCGAATGGAACACACAATACAATGGTCTTGTGGTCGCTTGCGCAGGTTGCCACGAACCTGTATCCAGATAGAAGTGTTGTGGAGGTACGCTATTATTATCAAAATACGTGTTTCGGCTCATTGAGAATAACAGTGGTTACCTTATCAAACATAAGAGCATATACACTACACATCATGCTTCCACGCAAACATGTCGTTTATTGGCGGTGTGTGGCTTCTGCTACAAGTTATGGTGAATAATCTTCCTGCTAGCAGTGTGTCTTTCCCACTCCAATGTTTGCATTTCGCTGTGTTTCTCTTAAATCACAACCCATGTCGTCCAAACCATCATCAATCTCGCTAAACCCCGCATGTGTGAGCTCTTCTTTTTCTGACGGTGGGACGGGCAGTTGCGAAGAAGCCTTCAACGACGATTTCATTTTCGGCGAACTCATGACCTAGCAATCTTCCGAATTCACATAGTCTCCTTCGACATCAGAATTCGTCCTCTTTTCCTTGGTCGTCATGGGAGGTTGGAGTCGTTTCGTCGTTTCAGTCGTACTTGCAGGTGCGTGGAGTTGTCCATCATCGAGCTCAATATCAGTCGCGATATCTTGGCGCCTAAGTATCATATAGAGTATGTATAAGATACAACGTCAATTACTTCAATCACACCGTATATACACCTGGTCTTGAGAGCGTACCGGATGACAATCTTCGTCTACTTCTTGTCCCGTTGCAATACTTGAGCCTTCGTCGTATTCTTCTTCCGTAACGATTTCTTCTTCATATCAGCGGTCACGCGCATCCCCCCGAATCACTTTAAAGCAGCAACGTACGCAGCAGCCTTCTCCATCGGGGTTGCGAAACACTTTCATTCGGATTGGGGTTGTAGATCGGATGGCGTTGAGGTTGGTGGAGCTGCTTCTGTCTGTACTGGGGGTGAGATGAAATATGCATCAATATCGCAATCTCATTCAAGTAGACATTGAGCCCCGCATGAAATCAGTGTTTCTCTGGTACCGACCTTACCTGCAGATGTCCAACGAAAGCCTCCTTCTCGCAACGAGTCTTGCGATGAGCTGTCATTTCACGGGCTGGCTTCTCCGACACAAATTTCAGAATGAGCTGGAATGGAGGGCTAACCGTCATCAAACTAACGGTTTGGTCGTGGTGAGCAAGCTTCAATAAAATTTATTGTGTGCATTTTTGCTGCAACATTGTTCTTTTTTAATATTTTTGCCTAACCGCGTGCATTTCACTGTTTTTATTGTCAATTTTACTTAAATTTCCCAACCCTGCGCCATCTGGACAACCGGACAGTGAATCGACTGTTGCTGCTCATTGGCCAATACTTTTTAAAATCAAACCAAATCGGATACCATACATGTATGCAGCGATCCATCGATTGCGAGCAACATGGAGGAAGCGGTAACGCGGCAGCACGCTCATGTCAACACTGTCTACCACTGCGTCTACGCACACATTCACCACGGGTACTCAAGACGTCACCTGGTGCATGTCTTCAACAAGACAGAGCATACCATCGGCATCTGGCTAAGGACATACGACGAAAACGGAGTAATCCAGCGCGTTCAAACAACAAGGGAGCGACAATATACTGAGGCCCACCGCGCATGACTTCTCAGCTACTATCAGCAACACCCGTTGGCGAACCTTGACGAAGCTCAGGTCGCATTCATACAAGCTCATGAGACTCAGATATCGAAAATCTTGGTGTGGCGAATTATACATTCGTTCGGCCTTACCTGGAAAGTTTTAGAGCGAAGGGCTATTCAGATCAAGGAAAATGATGTCTATCGCATCGTAGAGGAGGTGAGCAGTGTGAATTGGACTCACGAGAACCTCGTTTTTCTCGACGAGGTGCCTTTCGACAACAGAGGGATGGTGCGTAAGCGTGGATATGCCGTGTGTGGGACGAAAGTGGTAATTCGCGGCGCCTTCGAGCTGAAGCCACGGGTGTCCATTTTAGCGTTTATTGGAGTGAATGGAATTCTCGACTACTTCAACACTGAAGGTACATTCGATAGGGTGGAGTTCACGAAGTGCTGCCAAGATTTCGTTCATGCCAAGGGGAGCCCAGTGCGCCAATATCCTGGTCCAAGTTCTGTCTGGAAATTAGATGGAGCTACGATCCATAAACATCCAGAGGTTATCCACTATTTGCGAAGTGTTGCTGTGGTCCCGATTTTTTTACCAGCATATTGCCCGTTTTTCAACCCGATAGAATTCCTATTCAGCTACGTGAAGCGCACATTTCAGCGCCACTACAACGAAAACAGCGGGCGGGATTTAAAGTCTTTTGTTGGTCAGACATTTTGTCGCTTCTGCGATTTTAATATGCGCAAGGTTTTCGAGCACTGCGGCTGGAAAATCCAAGGCTACTTTGACCCTGTTGGGCCACTTTCGACTGAGAATCGCAATGCATGTCAGGCAGATGAACCCGGCCAAGACGAGTTAGATTTCACGGAAGTTTAATCGCAGTGATAGATCATAACACAATTGCTCTATATTTCTTCTCCAGTACTCGTAATTCTCCTAAACTAAATTTACTCGGCATGTTCTTCATCGTCCATGTTTTCAATTCGAGTAGCGGGTCTTCAATTGCCCTTCGAGGTGGAGGAGCAAGATCACGCAGAAAATGCTTCGACGACCTCTTTGCGTGCTTCAAGGCACTCCTCGTTTCGTTTAAGATGCTGACCCAACACATCCCATTCTTGACGCAGATGCTGGTAGTCAGCAATGGAGCTCGACAAAATCTGCAGAGCCATATTCGCAGACCGGTAACACCAGCCAAATGTTCCTCTTGCTGTGAATCCGCAAGTCGTAGGAGATTAGCAATATTGTCAGGCGGGGGTTGTTGAACTGCGGCATCCCATGTTGAGCGATTTAGATTCCGAGTAAGTTGGTTCGCCCACATACGCCACACTGCAGCATGCGCTTGGAATGTAGTGCCCCATTTCTCTCGTAACTTTTCCACAACTTCGCGTAGCGAACACTCTGCAGTAGCACCAGCACGATCAGTTTGCTCTGGTCGAATGCACTCTGTAATGAATTGATCTCGATCTTGCGCTGTAGCTATTGCCAATCCATACTCATATACTGCAAGCGTCACGGTATGCCCACACATTTTTACCAACCAATTCTTCCATCCCTGTGCAGTCTTAGTTGGTTCTACCACCCTCTTGCTGACTTTGAACTGCATGACGCGTGACCATTCGGCTACTGTGTGGGGTTCTACAGACCACTCACCATCAATTCTATCGGCTCGGCCCGTCACCTGACCGCTGAACAGGTCCCAGATCTTCTGCATGATCTCGTCGAAAGAACCGCCGTTGATAACGACGTCATCCAGTGTTACCGCTGCATTATCTTGTTGAGCGATCGTTTTCTTTACAATCGGCCGCAAAAGAAGTTGATAGCGTTGGTGTTGGACTGCTGATGCTTCTCCATCAACTTGATCTCGACAAACTTGTTGGAAATTCAGAGACCCTGACGAGGGTGTTGTCAGCATCGTCGCAGCAGTAGCTGGAGGAGGAGGAGTAGCAGGTGCAACCACAGGTATTGGAGCTTATAGCGCAGCTGCATGGGTAACGCAGGAAACTGCTGGAGCTTCAGCCATTTCCGCCGCAGCACCTTGAACTACTTGTGGGGTCAGAGGAGAATTACTGGGCGTCGACGTGCGGCTCCGAAGTTGGTACGGCGACAATCGAGTACTGTGTTGAGATAGCCGCGGTGTGGGTGCCACTGCATCAGATGCATCACTTTGGGCGTTTAATCCCGTTGTCCGTGTAGCAGTAAGAGTTGGGGGGCTTGCTGTAGGTGTGCGAACACGCAAACAGTATGGGGAGAATCGAGAACTGCGTTGTAGTTGCTATCGCCTTGGAGTGACTGACATTGTGCAATAACTGGAGTGAACGAAAACAAATACTATAACCTCTAAAGGTGCATGACTTCATTCTTTAAAATAGGTGCGCGATTGGTGGGGGATTGGGCTTGCCCGATTCAACCAATCGCGTATGGAAATTTTGAACCAATCGCACAATAACATGTTGTATAATACAACATGTGTGGAACCGGTCCAAAACGGGAAACTTCTCGCATGTTGCAATATACAACCGTTAAGAGCGGGGGTAAAGATCGAGCGTCCGGAAGGAGTGGATCCGAACGAAGCCGCAGAAATGGAGGAGCGACTATGTCAGATCGGCTGGAAAAAGCGCAAATGGCTGATCGGGAAAGACAACGTTTTGCCGCCTGCAGGAAAAGGTGTCATCTGCGACATCAACGTGGGAAATGCGAGGTCCGTGGCACAGCGCGTCTGGAAGATCTCGTCGCAAATTCGGAAGAAACTGGCGGATTTTATTCGAGGACTCCTTCGCGTGCGCATGATCCCCGCGTCGAAGTCGCCGTGGGATTCTTCCTTCATCGTCATCGTGCAGAAGAATGGGGTTGACATCAGACTCCGCGTCAACTATCGACTAGTCAATGGCTGACTCAGTTGATGATTTACCCGATGCCACTGATCACGGACTTCTTAGAAGACTTGGATAAGTACAGGTGGCACTGTTCCGTTGACATGGCATGCGGATTCTGGGTGGTTCCAATGACGGACTGGACCCGGCTTATCTCCGCGTTTATCACACCGTTCCGACTGTTCGAGTGGCTGCGCATGCCGTTCAGTCGATACAATGGGCCTCCGATATACCAACGATTGATAGTCAATGACATGTATGGCTTCTGGGAGCTGTGTCCGACAGGGGATACCCTCGATGTTTTCAGAGACGGGATCCCGTCTAAGCTTGGAACGAGGTCCGTCATGGGTGGGCGGTCTTACATTGATGAAATCTTGATCAGAGACACGTCGTTGGGCGGCCTGTTCAACAAGGTGGATAACCTTGAGGCCTGTGAGGAATGACATCTGTCAATCAGCGTGGAAATTGGCGAATGGGGAATGTCGAAATGGGATTACCTGGGTCATGGAATGTCGGAGGACGGACTCGGTGCGAAGTCAAATAACTTAGACGCCCTCGCGACACTGAAATTTCCACGCACGTAGCAAGGCCTACAGTCATTCTTGGGTAGCCTTAATTACTACCATCGCTTTATCCCGGACTTTGCGATCTACGCGACCGCGCTGTATTCCCTCACCGCCCGCGACTTTGAGGAACGGATCTTGAACCCTGAGCCGCGCGATCTGAAAAAGTAGGCTCACACCGGAACGCGCTATTCATGCGCTCCAGAGCAAGAGCGCGACCACACCCTTATTGAAACACTTAGACGTGGATAAGCAGCAGTGGTAATCGTTTACGCGTGTGACGGTGTGTACCTGCCCATCAAGTTTACTAGTCGGACGCTGAAGCCCAACGAGTTGAACTACAGCATCGCCGAGAAGGAAATTGTAACGTTGCTACGCATGCTGAACGAGTGTCACAATATGCTGGTGGGAAGGACGATTCGCGTCCTAACCAGACACACGACGCTCTGGTGGCTCTTCCGCTCTAAAGGTCTTCAAGGACGACTTTCTCAACGGACTGCAATCCTCTCGCCGTGGAGATTATAGATTCTCTGATCCGCAAAAAGGGAGTAAGAGTTCTTAGCGCGTTGACCGCGAGTATTACGCTGAGGGGTATGTCGACTCCTCGTAGGAGGATATCGCGCCGCGAAATTGCCCGGCAAAGACGGCCCCAATCCTGTTTCCGAAGATCGGACCGTTCGTAAGTCTGCACGTGATCAGTTTGGACGACCAGCCTGCGTCAAATGCGAGGGAGGAGCATTCAGCGCCATCGTGTGGAAACAGCCGACATAGAACGACCTGCATCGGGGTATGCAGAAGGTTTCGCCGTGAACGAGGCCGAACATCGGGGTATGCTGCTCGGTATATCGCTGCTGGACGGCTTCAACATCTCACGACTGGTCATCAGCGGGGCCTCCAACCTCGTAGTACAGATACCGCTGAGGCTTTTGAACAGTGCCCTTTAAGCAAGTTCTGAAAGGTTATAAATTGTATTAAGGAAATTCGATATCGCAGTTAATGATTTGAACTTCAACTCAGTATGTCATTATACAAATATTTGTTCGACACTCGGGAGGTGTATCGAATTTCGCAAAATCGATCTCATATTTTCTAAATTAATTGGCAATAGTTTCCTTCTTTATGTTGATCCAGACTTCATATACCCACTTCATCGACTGTAGCTGGTCCACGTAATAAACCGTATTTCCTGTGGGCTCAATCTCTGGTCTCGATCGAAGGGCACGATACATTGCAAGACAGTAAAGCTTGATCCGGTAGCCACTCTTCGACGCAGCGATGATTCCACCATTCTTCTGCTGGAGGTGGGATGTCGTATTAGGCGGAAGGATCTGAACGGTGTTGTTCGTAAGCACTCCAGTGTCGTCTAGCACGTGGGAAGATGCATTGTCGTGCAGTAGCAAGATCTGTCTACCTTCCTTCGTCATATCGTTGTCAAACACACGCACCCAATCGGTGTACAACGCCATCGGCATCCAAGCCTTTTTGTTGTTGCGGTAGTAGTAGCCAAGTTGCCAACCTTCATTGCCTTTGAAAAGTACGGTTTCTTTGCTCTGTCGATGAAGAACCCGTTGCACTTCTCGGAGTTTTCAGCGTTCGCGGCTAAGGCCAGCGTTATGCGAGTTTTATCATTTTTGAGCCCTGTCGTACCTAATTTCCATATCCCACGTCCCGATAAAGTAATCCGGTTACGTCTCGCAGTGCGAAATGTCTAGTCACATCCCGCATCGCCATCCGGGCTTCGATGATGTCAGCCGAGTTCGCGGATGCAGCTTCACCGTGGTGCGGGCGGAATTGTAGCCCATGATGCTTTAAAAAGCCCGTCATCCAACTTCTGAAAGCTTTAGAGTATGAGTGCTTGAAATACTCATTAAAATGTCCTTGGCTTGCTCAAAGATGAGACCACGAGGCGGATGAACATGGTCTCTTTCCGTCGCCTCGATGCTTTTTGCAGGCGGGATTCTTGCTCCGGACACCGCAGATTACGCACATGCCCTTTGGGAGTCTTCAAAGTTTTGAGTGTGCACTTGATATCGTTGACTTTTCGTAGAACGTACATGATGGTAGCCCTCGAGGGAGCATTAGGCAGCGAGAACGTGGTGTGAGCCCATCGCACCAGCTTCGACAACGACGGATGTGGCGTTGTCTGGTGGAATTTGACAATGACTTCGCACTTCTGTTCAAGTGTCATCCACTTGTTCTTGGTTCGAGTTGTCAGTCGCAGGATCTGAGAACGTTGAACTGGCTGAGAAAGGTCGTCTGTCCAACGACGCGCGATCCGGAACGCGGCGACCACCCCTCAAGAGCTGAGATACGCGATATAGATGATATATAACGCGGGATGATAAATGTTTGCCTGGTGATCACGCGCTCATGACAGGAGTCGAATCCAGCGTCAGGAAGACAACACGAAGTCTTGAAGGAACTCGAGGTTCAATAACTCCGTCTGGATCGAGTCCGTACGGCGCAAGAAGAAGAGCTTTGGATCACCAATCTCAAGAAGTCCCTAGACAAGGACATTTGCGAGCTGTCCAAATGCGAAGTAAAGAACGGCTACAAGATCGCGGAACAATACGAAGTGGGGGAAAGATGTTTACTGTACTACCACATCCGTGGGAGCTAAGCCGCAGAAGGTCGGGGCACGATTACGAAATTGGTTGTTCCGTGAACCTCAGAGTGGTCTTGTGGCACAACTATCACGCGAGTCTAGAGGGTGGGCACCGGGGTATCGGCTGGACGTATCAACGTGTACGACGACACTTCCACTGGTGAGGGTTGTTCAAGAGCGTACAACGCCAGGTCGGAGAATGTGTCGACTGTGACACGGGAAAAGACAGCCCCACGATCCAAGGAGAGTCACCAGGCTATATAGTCGCGATGTACCCGTCCCAAGTTGCTGCGATGGATCACATCGCGTCGCCAACGGCAACACGGAACTCCTGATCTGGGTCGACCTCTTTACTAGCTACGTGATTGCAAAGGCGAGTGCGTCATGCACCGCTCAAACCGTCGCCGAATCATACGAGGAGGCCGACTTCAGACGGTTTGGCGTTAGTGAGGTAATCCGTCACGACCACGAGCCAGGATTCTTGTCGAACTTCTTCAAAGCTTTCAACAAGCTGGTGGGGCAGCGACAATGCGCAACGCCTGTGTATCGCCCAGAAGTAAACGGGGCGGGAGAACGTATGGTGCAGACCATGACTAGAGCCATCCAAATGTATATCGCTGACATCGACCAACGCGACTGAGACCATTACGCGGAGCATCTAGCGTATGCGCTTAACACGGCCCACGATAGGACGCGAGACTAGAACCCGTTCTTCCTCGTGCACGTTTGGGACCCAGGGTATACGTTGGAAGCGACTCTAGCAGTTGGTAACACGTCACATCGAGATGCAGAAGCTCGACGGTGGAGGATGCGCATTCAGCGTCACTACAAGATCGCACGCGCACAATCTCTTGAACTCGTCTACGAGGCGGTAGACGCAAGAGCTACGCACAACGAAGCACGCGATAGAACGGGGCTCGTGAGTCTGGCTATAGCTGGACCACGTCAAGTCTCGGTACGCGCGTAAGCTCGCACATATGTGGCACGGTCCGTTCCGCGTCGCGGAGTTGCTCAGCACATACGCTGTGCGTCTAGATACCGACGGAACTCCGTATCAGTTGTTCATAATCGTGCACGTCTAGAAGTTGAAACCTGTCCGCGGATTCCGGACGCAATCCCGAGCTGAGACTGACGGTACCGTCGGGAGAACACTTCGACTCTGACGATGCGCTCCTCCCAGAGGATAACTGGGAGATGCGCGAGACGTGTACGACGTTGAACAGATCTTGAACGTGCGCGAAGGATGGGTGACCTGCTTCGGATGCACGCGACGCGAGATCCGACTGAAATGGCGAGATTACGAAGAGATGAGCTGGGTCGACGGGTCAGATTTGAATTGTGGGGAACCCTTGTACGACTTTCTGCGACAACGCACAGGGCGGAGTCGCTTCAAAACGATACAGTACCAGGAACACATCGGCCAAAGAGTGAGTGACGGTGAGTGGTAAGTTGACGTGGTGTTCGTCGACGGGAGGTAATGGAGGAACCGGGACCAGGAACACATCGGCCAAAGAGTGAGTGACGGTGAGCGGTAAGTTGACGTGGTGTTCGTCGACGGGAGGTAATGGAGGAACCGGGCTCGGGGTTGGACTGAGTTTGGGGAGATGAGTTGGGGAAAGTTTGTAGGACCGGCTCGTTGGCCGAAGATAGAGTGATGGTGGGTCACTCGATGAGAACAGACAAACCGGAATTGAAAGAATAGATTCAAGAGAATTACACGCCCTAGGTAGCTACAGCTATAGCTACAACTAAGGTCGGCCGCGCGCGATGCACTTGGAGGCGGGACAGCGAACGGTGTACGCCGGGTGCTCTCGGGTGACAGTGCTTTTACCAGCTGCGTCATGTTGGGTGTGAGTGAAGCGACTCCATGGCTTACGCGCGTCGACCTCCGCCAAGGCAGCATCCAAAGTGGAGTTCCGCAGATCGGGGTACTAACGCCCGACGTTGGAGCGCCCTGGAGGAAACATGAGCATCACCACATCCAGCAACAGGTCCATATACGCGCGCCCCGCGTGTAAGAGAAGCAGCAAGAGTTGAAACGCGCTCATCAGATGATCGCCCATGTGCGATTGGCGTTAGTTACGGCGGCGACGCCATCGCGACCATGCCGGAGAATTAGGCGCTGGAAACACGTGCCATGGCCTCCCAGTAGGCCTGCGTCCAATGGTCTAGGTGCGTGTCGTAACGCACCAAGAAAGCTGGAAGGGGTAATCGCGGACATCGAAGGTGATCGGTTGAACGCGGAGCGCGAGGTAATCCCACGGACGAGTCGCATAGAGAGCGTCGACCGCTCTCTCCGTCAGCAACACCGGATTCCACAATGCCGGCACCGGAGGAGACGTGGTTGCAAAAACCCAGGGTCGGGGAGGTAAGTGATCGGCATGCATCCCTCGCGCGGTGAGCGACGAAAGGGTGAAGTCGCCCAACGCACAAGGCCACGACGTGTACCGACTCCGCGCCCACTCCGCTAGATGTCCGAACGGCGGAATGACGGGAGTGAAGAAGGGCCACACGGCCAGTGCAGCGCCATTGTAGGGCAAACAGTCGGATGGTCCATCACCAGGAGATGCCCCGTCGGTCGTGTCGGATCGCTTGCTGTCGGAAAATCGGTTGGTGCCGCCCGATCCAGGCCCATCTCCAGATGCGCGAGTGATCCGAGTCTGACGACACCGGGCCCGAGGAAGGAGCTGTGAGGAAACGTCTCTGACGGGGGGCAGAATGCTGCCGAATCTCCGTCTTCAGACTCCGAAGACACTGGACGGTAACGCGATCCGAGGTTTTGATCAGCCGGGGGAGACGCAGCTTTACCGGACTGGCCGCATTGTCATTGTTGGAAGCGGCCGTGTCAGCGATCGTCGAAGATCGACGGCTCCGTCTCAAGCGCAACCGCCTCGACTAGAGAGAGTGGGTCCACCCGGACCCGAAGCGCGTGAAGAAGTCGCCGACGAGTTAGTGGACGGAACAGTATACGCAGCCTGAGCTGCAGGTGAGGCAGAAGGTGTCACCGAAGCACCGGTAGCGCCAGCAGGCTGTGATGGGGCTGGGTGTGTCGACGGAGGACCAGTTGAACCCGGGGGCGCAGAACTTGAACCCGCGGAAGCCGTGGATGACGAATAAGCCTCCAGAGGCGTAGAGGCCGCGGAAGAAGACGCGGGGGGACGAGACGTCGCGGCACCGGAGGACGCAGGTAGCTCCGAGAGTGTGGCTGGCCGCTGCTCGTCTCACCTCTGGATCGAGATCAGGGGCGAGTAGTATGGCCGCATGCACAGCCGCTTCAACCCTGCACTCGAGTCGACGTACAAGGGTGGTGATATCAAGCGAACCACCGGCAGCGACAAC